AGCCTTGGAAGTTCTTAATTATCCACCCTATGATCTCAATTATCAACTTAAGTCCTTTGCTTAAGATTTCTTATAGTTATCAAACTATACTTTGGATATGGATGACTGATGTGGATTGTTGTTAATAGTAATGGAAAAAGTTCCAGTGAAACAACTTCAGAGCTTTGGAAAGGGAGGACATACGTCCATACCTCGTAGGGCATACAGGTTCGTTTTCTTGCATGTCTACGTAACTATTTTTGTTGCATATATTTTAGTATACATGATAGTTTCTATTTAAAATTCTTAAGATTTATATTTCTACTAGTAATTGTCAATACAAGAAAAAAGTGTTTTGTCGAGAGTTAATTATCGGTGTGTGGGTAAAATGCTGGCAGATCCCGATATTGCCAATGTTTACTTAAATGACACAAACCTTGAAATAAATCTTCAAAAGAATTGCAATAAATGACATCGTTTTAATTTTGAGAATCCCTTCTCCAATTTCCCCCAAATCACTTCCTCGGTTTTCTTCTCTCTAAACTCTCGGTCGTCGATGAACTTCTACGACGAAGCTAAGTGATGTGAAGTGTGATCTTGTAGCCCTAAGGTTCTTTCTCCCTCTCTTTCAGTCTCTCAAACCACATACACATTGGTCATATTAGAACCCTGATCCCTACAATGGAATGTAACGAGCCAACATATTAGGTTTCACTTATATCTGTAGTTGTTCCCTCCTCCGTGGACCATAGTTTTTGTAATTAATCGAGTATTTTATTCAATCCATCGATTCATGTTTCTGTTTTTTTTGGTGCCCTAGCTCTTTATTTTTGGATTCAGCTTCAATCTTGGTTTCATGTTCGCAGGGTTCGATTGTTGTCTATATATATGTCTATCTATTTCTAGCTATATGATTGATCACCATATTGATATCAATTTGTCTTTGTTTATTGAAATTATGCAACTACTATATGTTATTCTTTTTGAAGTTCGAGCAAGGAGTAGTGGGGCCTGAAAAATTATTGTATCTATTTATGTCTCTTGGTTTTCTCAAAATTTTATCTGTATTTCACACAGAAATTTGGTTTCATAATTTGGTGAGTGCTTAGTTGTAGAATGTGTCGGTGAAGACCAAATTTTTTCTTAGTGACTCATATACTCTGTCATTCTATCATGTTACAGGGCTTAAGAAAATGAACGAAGTAGGCTTGTACATATAATCAGATTGCCCTGCAACAATTTAGGGCAAATGGTCTATATTCTCCCTAGGATAAATTTTCATAGAATAGTTCGCAAATCACTGCAGTTTGTGATATCGTGATTGCAATATTGGAACAGCAAAAGTTTAGATCATCTGGGTGGATGAGATTTAATAGTTGCAATGGAATTGAGCGCATTCTTACCACTTGTGTGATTGAAAGGTATAATATGATGATGCTCTGCCATGTGCCACAACTGAAAGCCCCCTGATGCTTATTGGGCTGCATGACTCCATAGTAATTTGTTATAAATACCTCTGTATCTTCAATACTAAATAGTACTCTGAAAGTGTGTAGCATTGTGATCAGACTCATAGGGACAAGATATATCCTCCCTAGTGATGTGGATTCAAAAATCATTGTCATTATCCAATGTAAATGTTATGCATGCATTATTATGATTTTCCTGTTAAGATTGATCTGATCAATTTTTATGTTTGTGTAGGTTGATGCAGCCATTGTTGCATTTAGACTGAAGCAATCTGTAGACTATCCTCCAATTTCCTCCACCAAAAGCTTCTTCTCAATTGTATTTCACCTGCTGCTAATTTAGTAGTATGCTTCTATATACCAACTGTCATGAAAAGGTTTGGCTCATGATAGTGCTAGCGTAGGCCGTAATTCTATTCTGGTTTCTTTGGGCCAATCAATGCACCTTAGTAGCAGTAAGATATTACAGGATTTTCTTTCTTTCATTTAGGTGGACACAAATTTTCAAGCTGTTAAACTTGTGTTCTTTTCTTTTTGTGCTTTACATCTTAAGAATTTGCATCTAAGACATGAATTAGCTTTGTATATAGTCCTAGGGTTGAGCCAACATCCTTATTGCAACTAACTATTGAGCATATTACGGTTCTTGGGATGAAGTTCCTTGTACGTCTGTTATCATACTTCTAGTCACAGGCTGATTTTTCCATTTACAGAATTTGTGGTGATAGTTATAGCCCTTTAAGTCGCTATCTTCCATTAGGGAACTGATAATATGCATCTGTCCTTATTGATTGGATTGAGATCAATTCCGCATTTAGTGGGAAGCGTAACATGTTGCGTAAGACGCTGCAGCGCATATGTACCTCCTCCGGCATTAACTAGTTTGATCTCTATCATCCTAGGCTTCTGGAAAAGGTCGACTGGATATAGACCTAAGCATTGTTATTATTTGCACAAAGTGGTTGCCCTCAGATTTGAGTCCATTACCTCAGTTGTTAGCTCAAGCATATTATTATTCGACTAGGCAATACCTCTACCTATCTTTAAAATATTCACAATTAATTAGAGCCAATGGAATGCTTTATGTTATTCTTGGTGCTTCAAAAACTTCTCTGGTAGGGAATCTCATGCAATTACATATTTAATGTTCCTATAATTAGTACTCATCTCTCTCTCTATCTCTGTAACGCCCCAAAACACACCCTGGATGACATTACATTCTAAAACCATTCATATCATGAGAGCACTAATATAATCCCTTAAGAAACAAGACTTCATTTGTCATCCACGAATATTTACAACATTATCCAAAAGAATAAGCCCAAGTCATGGCTATTACATCTCAAAAATTAATTAAGGAAGCGCAGCCGAATAAACAAAAGAAGCTAGACTACACAATGTTCCAAAAGAATGTCCTAGTCTAGTACAAAAGGAAAGGAGGTCGCTCTATGCGTCCACCTCGGGATCCACACTCCCGTCCAGTGGAGTCTCCCAAGTAGCGGGCTCCTCGACCCTTACGTCCTCCTCCTCAAGCGGGTAATCTGAAAAATGTTAGCAATAGGGGGTGAGCACGAAACTCTGTAGAAAAATTCTCCCAAACCCATACAAGGTTTAGAAAAACATTTAAAACGGTCGGTCTCAATTTTAACATAACATAGATACATAATTTGAAATAAAACAGTGACATTTAAAAAAGATCTCAAGTTTATTTAAAAATATTACTTAAATGAATAAATGAGCACCACATACAAATAATAACCATTAATTGCCATAACTAATTCCCAACAATTCTTTCGGTAGGTGGCATACTTTGTGGTAACTTCCACCCCCCTTTTAGGTCACCTTTGATTCTCAAGCATCCTTACCGGGAACCTCTTAAAAATGGATGAGCATCCTTACATGGAACCTCTCACCAATCACTACATTATTTCCCAAGCATCCTTACCGGTAACCTCTTGGGACGGGGTGAGCATCCTTACAAGGAACCTCTCACTTATGTGTATCATAAACAACCCAACCAAGCATACAATTCCAACATTTATCTCAATTTACAAGCATCCATCCAAAATTCCCAAAATATATCATATAACAATTCTACAACTAACTAAGAAAATACATGAGATCATAATAACATCATTTTTCTACCCAACACAAAGCACTAAGGTTTCGAAATTCATAATAAAGAAAGTATTTAGGAAGGAAATACATCACTCTCCCAAAAATTAGGGTTTTAAAACTAGAAAGGAGATTTCATGGGTATTAAACCCTACTTTGTTCAAAACATGTAATTCTTGTAAAAAGCCTAAGAGAGGATGATTCCATAGCATATATATATCATTGATAGCTAAAACATACATATATAAATACCTTAGCCTCAATGTAAGTGAATGAGATAAAACCCCTACCTTGAATCCTTAGCTTTGGAGTGAAGAACAAGGATATTTGATCTTGAATCACCCTTGAATTTCTTGTTTTTCCCTTCCTTTCTTCTTCTCTAATGCCCTCTAGGGTTTCAAGAGGTGTGGGGGTGTGAGAGGAGTGAAGGAAATGAGAGCAAATGAGATAAAAATGAGTTTAAAACATAGCAGCCCCGAAAAATACTGTTCACAGGCTGTTTTGGGTTTCTCCAAATTTACGGTTTTGTCACTAAGAATCTCTAATTTGATCCATATGACTACCCTACGGTTTTTCGACGTTTCGGATTCATTTTTAATGTTATTTTAACCTAAAAATATTTATTTTTATGATTTATCTCAACACCTAAGTCAACGTTACACCCGAAACACTAAAGTTTCTATTTTACCCATCCGAATCGGCTATTAATGAAGTTTTGCGATGTTTGCAAATAAAAGGTGATAAAGGGTGTTTCTTAAAGCCTTTTATACTTATTTGAAGCCTAAAAGTACTCATTATTCTTATATTTTGATTTAGGATGCAAATGGAGACATTAAATGCAAAACGAAGCTAATTGGACTATTTCGACATCATTTCGTTATCTGAGCATAACTCTCTCATCCAAGCTCCGATTGAGATGATTCAAGATGCTATGGAATGATACGAAAGAGCTCTAAAACTTTCATGTTTTGAGTTTTGAGAGATATTGACTGCATCACGGTCTAAATCGAGCTTGAAGTTGCACCAGTGCACTGTTCACAGCCTGTCTTCGTCCCTTTTCCATTTCCAATCCATTCCTAAGCCAACCAAATCCATCCCAAACCTCTCCAACACATATTTCTACACCAAACCTATTTAATACAAGTTCTAGGACCTAAAATTTCATATTTTCACTTATTAAAACCAAATTTCAACTATTATTTTCACTAACATTTTAAATCTCTACTTTTCCAATCTACCAAATTCAAACACACATCACTACATATATCCACATTTTTTTTTATCACAATTATTTACTATATATCTATATACATATATAAAAGAAAATGCGGGGTGTTACAATCTCTACTACGTTCCCAAATGTCTTCAAATTACTATATGTTTCGGAAATCTTGGAATTGGTAGGTGTAAAGATCTTGAGTCTTGACAACTCGCGTCATGCCCATCATACCTGAGTTATTGTCACTTCTGCTTTTTCATGAGGTAATTCATCACAATTCATGGGATTTGATAGCATTTTTCCTCATTATATAAGCACTGTCATGTATATTTCTTTATCTGCTTACATTGAATTAAGAATACCTGAATTGACTCCCCACTGATGATTCATGTATCATGACACGATTCCTCCAATAAGTCTGAACTCTGCAAAAAATTGGCTATGGTTGAAAATCACATTTTTCCTGTGAAAGCATCCTAAGATAGTTTATTCGAGTTACTTGCTCGCAGGTAGTCTCCAATATACCTTTCAATATAAGTACGGATGTTATTAAACAACTTCTTCCATTGGGTGACATATTCTCAAAAGTCATTCTCTTGCTCCAGGTTTGCACTTCTTACTTTCTGAAATAACTTCTTTGTTTCACAGAATTTCCATTTTTCCTCAGATGTTAATCTTTTGGATTTTAGTAGTGTGCTCAAAGTCAATAGCCCAATAGCTCCCCCTCTTGGGCATCTTGGTTGGATGCAAAAATAATTGTATTCCAACTCTTAAGTAGATTCTGTGGGTGTGTGCATTAACATTTATGTGACTAGGCAATTTTTATAAGCAAGAAGTTGATATATTGGCATGACCAAGGACTTCTACAGTAGAATTTCACAGACTAACATATTGGCATATTAACTGTATCTTTTTTTTTTTTGATCAGGCATATTAACTGTACCATTGTATTATAAACTCGATTCTTTAACAGGCCTGACATACTTCATTATAATGAGGGAATAATTTCAGCAGGAAGCAGCTTTGCGCTTCGTAGATTCATCCTTGAGGACATCTGAGTTCGACCCATCAATATTTTCATCAACTTTTACTCAGGTACCTCTCCAATATAAAACCTGTGTGAGAATCGGGAAAAGAACCACATTAGCTGGTTACCTTTTGCGGTTGTTTTACCGATTCTTACACAACTTTTCTTTTCTTTTTATTTTTTTTCAGATCCGGAGTACAAATTTAAAGTTCCAAGGACAAATGTTTTCCCTCAACCTAAAGTGCATGACTGATTCGTTTATCCATCAACACCAATAAATGCCTCATCGTCGGAATAGAATGTGTTTCCATACAAAATCATAGGCCATTGTAATCGAAAATCCAGACCGGCTCATAGAATAACTGGCGGTATTTAGCCCTTTGTTTCATTTAAAAAATTGAAAAGACCATGCCTCAGCTTATGTGGAATAAAATGCTAGCAAAAAAGGAAACTACAAATATGTTTGGGAATAGATTTGCATGTGATGGAGATAAGAATCTGTATACAGTAGGGCCTCTTCCACAGAACAATTTTGAGTTCACGGTGGTTCTTCAGGAATCCTTTCCAGAGCAGTATGTCCCTCCTTTATATTTTTCCAGTACTTAAGTTTGTTGCATATTTTCCAAGACTTATAGTATATTCTTCCTCGGTGGTAGTGGGAGTCCTCCTCACAATGGGAGCCCAGTGAGTCTGGTAAAAGGTCAAAGCATTCTTTACAAAAAAACTTTTAAAGTCAAGATCTGCTATGCTGCTGAAATACCTTTGAAGTCCATTTCTCTTTCCCTCCAAAGAGCTGATCCGGACAATGTTCAAGATGCGCTAAGGGTGCTTGATGTTATATTAAGACAGCAAGCACCTAATTGGTACTTGGAAATTTCTCCTTTCAAGGTGTCTTTTGAGGTTTCTAGTTTCTTCAATGCTGCTAACTTACATATTGTGTAATTGGATGTTGAATGCAGGGGTTCTCTTTTGGTAAGATAGTCATTCTTTCATGATGACTTAAGGAACTTTCACGGTGTTGGGGGTTCCGTTCCAGCTTTCGTTCAATTCATGGTGGTTTGTTACTTAATATGGGTATAATCATCATTTTTTTTGTTCTTCATCTCACTGCGCCAATGTGATTTTGCTTTCACTTTCTGGCCATTAATGTAGCTTTGATTTCTTTGGGCAGGTGTATCTACAAGTAAGATCCTGATGCCTGGACCTGTTACTGATTTTCTGCTAGCTAACCATAATGCACGTACGTGAACCTTGTTTCATTGACTGTGCAATGGTAAACTAACTATTTAATTGCACAGTGGATCTCATTTTTTTTCTTGGTTCATTATATAGTTAATATTTTGTGTCATGCACAGGCCAAAAGAATGCTAAAAAACTTAAGAAATAAGACAAGGCACAACAAGAAGGAGTTCAAGATCAAAGGTTTAAGTAACAAGCCTTGCAATCAGCTATTGTAAGTGTTTTTTTATTCCATAGAATTTCTACTTTTCATTGTATGCTGATCATTTATTTGTTTTACTTTTCCCTCCCAAGTTTTCCGCTGAAAGTGAAAATCAGTGATGGTGCCTATAATGGAGGACCGGCCTCGGAGATTACGGAATACGAGTATTTTTCCAAACATCAGAACATTGAGCTTACTTATTCTGCATATATGCATTGCCTTGATGTTGGTAAACCGAAACAGCCAAACTATCTGTCGCTGGAGGTGTGCATAATTCTCTCACTAGAATTTCTGGATTGGCCCAATTTTCTTTATGTATAATAACTCTGTGTCCTTCTCTAGAGCAGATGTTGATGTTGTTTTCTTTCCTAATATTCCAGGTCTGTTCTCTGGTGTTTCTTCAGCTTTATACAAAGGCGTGATCTTCAGTGCAAAGAGCATCTTCAGTTGAAAAGCTTCGCAAAAACCTCAAGAGAGAATAAGAGTTGTAAGTGATGTAAATCTTCTTCCACCTAAATGCAAGCTCTTGTTGTTTGTAATATTGCATTTTATTGATCATTAAGTTTGGCAGGCTATAGGAAACTACCGTTATGATGATTATCCCTCCTTGTTGCTTGCAGCATTTCAATTGAGAAACAGCTCACCCAAGGTGATGGTCGGGTCCTAGAGGCACCCAAGGTAGAGGTTGACTTTCTTGACCCGGTTTAGCAGTTTTCCTTACAATACAGATATGACTACACTGAACAATCAGATATGGATTGAGTGTGCTCTTAAAATCAAATTTTCTTTCAATCTGCAGTTGAAGATTTGTAACAGTGAAGATTGCTTCCCACGTAATGGACGGTGGAACTTCAAGAACAAGGTATTGCCTACACAATTTACAGTATAGAGTTGCTGCTGAATTTTTTTGCTCCAAGAACTGCTTTTGGATTTCTATAATTCAAGCAATGGATGCAAACCCGCTCATATCATTGTCTTCAGGTATCACCAATAGCTGCATTAAGTTTCAGCTGTACAGATTATTTTGGTGGTCTTCAGGTATCACCAAAAGCTCTTGAGAAAGTTGGTTGTTGTCAACAAAATTATTGTTTTAGATATTTAACAATACTGAGTATGTTGAGAAGTTATTGACAAATGTGGTAAGTCCATGTTTCTTAATAAAACTTGTTAGTTGATTTTTTGTTAAGGTCAAGGTACTATATAATAGTATTTGTAATTGAATAGATGAAATGTGCACATCCATCGACCAAAAAAGAAAGCAAAATTGTCGGACAATATCGGCCTTGAGATAAATTTTTAGTAGCAATTGTGTACTAATTTGTTATGATATAACAAGATGCTTGAATTCGTATGACTATTTTCTGCTTTAATTTCAGGTTTATTCGGAATAAGAAGTATTGCCAAACAAGTTTATTGGATGATTCCAGAATTAAATTGGAAAGATTGTCGGGGCTTGAACACTATGACACGCACCATGTGTTGCATCGCAATATTAAGGGGTCAAATCTTCTTATTAACTATGGAGGAGTTCTTAAGATTGGTGATTACGGGTTGGCTTCCTTCTTTGACCCTAAATCACAAGCAACCAAGGACCAGTCGGGTGGTTACTCTATGGTGCAGACCATCGGAGCTTCTTCTTGGGGCCACTTATTATCGTGTAGGCATGGACCTCTGGAGTGCTGGTTGCATTTTGGCAGAGTTATTGGTTGGGATGCCTATGCTGCTTGGCCGCACAGAGGTAGCTATGGAACTTACTGATTTTGTTTTTGCAAGTTATTCCTTTACATTACTCGAAAACTAGATCATGTTTTAGAGTGGTGGTTTAAATTTGTGACGTGTTAGATTGTTAAAGTCATAGTTAACTGTTGCACTTCTACTTAGCTGACGAGCATGCTAATTGGCAGAATGACAGTTTGGATTCCATATATGACCAAGAGGTTTATGATATATGGAAGTGCTGTGATTTGCTCATGACCTTAGGATCCATTTGTAGCCAGCCCCATAATTCCTTGCTAAACTCCTTGAATACCTCCCAACCTTCCAACACGAGAGAGGAGAGATTCCCCATCCGAATAATAGCCCCTATTTGGAGGATCATCTTTCGGCTCATGAAGAACCAAATCATCCCTCAACTTGCATTATTAGAACACAAAGCTTTGTGGGTGTTTCTAATAATCTCCTGAAACATTACTGGAGAAAAACTCTGTTCATTCAAATTACAAACGGGCAAGGGAGATGCAACTTCGCAATTATCTGGGAGAGAGTAATTCTCCTGATCAGTTTTTAAGTTTCATCCTCCATTTGCAAACTTTTCTCTACTGCTTTTTCCACAAAACTCTCCTTATTCAGAATAGTCACAGAACCTTCCTAAGCCTTTGCCTTTTGACTTGGAGATCTCATCTTTTCCGTACTCCTAGGCTCCACCAGAGTGAGGTTGTTACATACCCTCGGATTTTCCTTCAACTGCAAGTCTCTTGATTTATCTGTAACCCCTCCGTTTGGCCATGATTATGGCTAACCTCCTATTTATCCATTGATATACCACTTTTTTGGACTTTACTTGACTCGCCTTGAATTGTTTTCTGGCAGTGCGTTTTCCTTTGTCCAGCCCCAGGTTTCACTACACTCATATGGATCACCTCTTTGCCCTTCTTTTTATCCTTCCTTACAACAACCCATACAATACCCTTAGGAGAAAGCTCCTTCTGTTTACGACATTCTACCTACTCATGACCTTGCTTAAAGCAATTCCTACAATACTTACACCTTTTCTCATGTTGAATTTTTTGCCAGCCCATTTTATAACCCCCTTGATCCACACATGCACGGGCAGCACTAAGCCTTGTTAAATTCAAAGTGGCCTCATCTATAGCAAGAATCTTACCAAGAAATAATGCTATTTGGACTTAAAAATTTAATTTAATTTGTTGACATAATGATGTGGTTTCATAGGAATCATTGGATCAATACCAAGTTCCAATATTTGATGGAGCCTACAATCAATCCAAATGTCACAATTAATTAGGTCAAGAAATTATTTCAGTAAATTAGGTCCCAATAGTATTGCACATCTTACCAATTGGGCTTTAGAATAGAAGTAAGGCATTCTTTAGTAAACAGATTGATCGGTGGCGCTCGTAAAGAGAACTACATTGGAAGTTTGGAACAACTGTTGGTTCAATGCCGGAAGGAAAAACTAGTGACCACTTAAAGAACCTGATGAGATGGCCCCTCAATATATATAGCGTCCTTTAACCATGTTCGGACATATTCTTCAAATAAAGAAAAATGAATAGCAATATGCCTAGGATCAATATTTGTAACATAAAACTCTCCTTTAATCGCCCATTTCGAGTTTATGTACTCACGAATTACCCCCAAAGATGGCCGCCTCCCATAAGAACATTTGCCAATCAAAGTGTGTTGAAATGGAAGACAGGTAGATTGAATGTCCTCCTTGGTCCAATAAAGAGATCGCTCACTATTATTGAAAACTGGCTTTTTAATCGGAATCACAACCGGAGGAATGATTATAGAGAAGAATGGGCTGCGCAAGAGCTTGAGAAAATAGAGAAGAAAATGTTTTATTAGGTGGCTTTGTTGTATTCAAGTTAGGTGTGTCATTCTCATTCATTGAAAATTCTAGAGAGAAGTTGGAGCTTCTCTCTATAAAAACAAAAGATCTATTTCTCAACCCATGATCCAATCTGTTATAAGTCTCATTTATGAAACGGGTTAAAAATGGATTGGACCCATTTTGCACCCTAGCTGTTATGAACCCACCCGTAACCCGCCCAACTCCCTTTTTGCCACCTCTACTATTAAGGTTATAAATTATGGACGGTCATGAAAAGTTAAAAGTTATTTGAACAAAGTTTTTTCTTTGGTGGTTACATAATATATTAGACATTGTCTTTAAGGCCTTTCCAAATCCTAAGACTAACATTTTGGTTATTCATATTTTGTATTGGATTCTAGTGGCTCTAATAAAGCGAGTTAAATCATGAGAGGAAGATTACTTTGCCTCTTTGACATTGTCAATTATCTGTTGTGCCTGATGTGCATGTTGTCTATATTTTTTTATTAGGAAGAGAGTTGGAGTATGAAATTGGATGAATTACTAGGTCGGGTACTAATTTTGTAATTTGTAGGAAATATTTTAATTAATGCTACCAATGTTTCTATGTCTATGAAAATTATGATGCATGTTTTGTTGCGGGAACAAATTGTATTCATTTTTTTTTTTGTTGGGAGAGAGAGAGAGAGAGAGGGGAGTTGAAAACTTGAAATAAGATGGTATGAGGGACAAACATGTGAAAGAATATACTAATTTAATGTACAACTTCTTGATAAAACCTACAATTTATGCATGGAATTGTTTACATCTAGCAATTATGATCTTCATTGTATAGAGTTTGTAGTCACGTTGATTCTAGCCTTACAAATCTCATCCATGATACACTGAGCGGTGGAATTATTCAAGATATATAAAAGAACTTGGAGTAGTCTTATCATGCAGAAAGAGACTGTATATTGATCCATTTGGGGCATCTCTTTATGCAGAAAGAGATTGTTCATAATGCGCAGATTCTTGATTAGGTGTTTGGATTATTATCGAATGAATATCATATTTTTGAACTTTTTCAAAAATGCCAACTTTTGAATTGATATAACTGTGATCAGCTTAGTTAATGATCTCAAAGTTGAACTTAATGTTAATACGTATTTTTTAAGCTGAAATTTCTATTTTGTGAGTCGTTTTTCACTGCATTTTTGTGCTTGGGTTTGCCTACTGATCGTCATTCAAGGTATACTACTCCTCTGCAGTCAATTACTAACATTTTTTTGTTTTTAAAATTTTGATGTCTGTTTCGATATTCTCTATTGATTATAGTACATTAAGATGGTGGAGGAAAGGCTTAATGCAACAATCTAAGCAATTGTGAAGTTTCTTTCAGAGGAGCTTGTTACTGATGACCTAATTTTGCAAAAAAAAATAATTTCTTGCTTCTCATTTTTGTCTTGAACCTTGAAGTTCTTAAGTACCTTCCTTATGATCTCAATGATCAACTCAGGTCTTTAGCTTTAAGATTTCTTACAGTCATAAACTATGCTTTGGATATGAATGATTGATGTGGATTTGTCGTCAATAGTAATGCAAGTTCCAAAGAAACAACTTTAGGGGCTTTGGAAAGGGAGGACATATGCTCATACCTTTGTAGGGCATACAGGTTCGTTTTCTTTGCAAGTCTACGTGATTATTTCTTGACGACAGCTTGATGACAAGGAATGCTTTTGAAGCCGGAATATATGCTGAAAGTGTTCCAAAAGAACTTCTTTCAGCAACTGAAATTCTGGAACCATTATCATCCAGTTCCAGACTCATCAACAGGTATAGTCACATGATCATAGGCTGCTTTTGGGAGGTTTTAGTGTTGCTTCACTTTTGAGTATAGAATGCTTCGATGACATGCCCTTTGTACCTAACAACACAGGTAGTCCTGTTGAAGTGAATTCTACATATAAGGTCGTAGAATTCTCTACTGTCCATATGTCATGATTTGGTTCTCTGAATTTTGGGTGTTAAATATTTTTATATTTCATTGACTGCTGAATTCTTATCTTTTTTTGGCATTTAGTAGTTTGGGTTAATCTGGAGTTGAACATGGGGATATTGTGAGCAAGCTAAAGTTTGAGGTTGTGAAGAACGAAAAAGCTCAAGCCTAAATAAGCAAGCAATTGCTTGTCAACAACTCAAATTGAAGATTGAAGTTCAGTCTTTGATTCACTCAGCAACAAGATCGCATGCATTATGATCTCATGATTGCTTTGTGCTGTGCCATTAAAAGATAGAAGGGACTGCTTAACAAAGTTTCAGGTATAACGAATGAGACAATTTTTTAATTCGCTGTTGGAGTGCTAAAATATTGGGTTGTGCACTTTGCACGATGGCGCACTTGGCTATTGTGCATTTGTGTTCTAGGATTTTTTGTGGTTTGACTGTGATTGTGAGCTTTGCATCGTTTTACGTTTTTGGGATTCTAGAGAGCATATATAGATATTCATGAGCCGTTATAAAATCTTGGATACATGCTATTCACATGGACTTGTCTATATTCTTTAGCAAAACTTGGGTATTCATAATATACCTCGATTCAATCTAACCTTTTCATGGGAAAAGACAACTGACTGAGTAACATGAGTTCTATTCCACTTTAGATTCCTTGAGTTTTGAAAACAACATTACGTTGATCTAGATAGATAATTAATTCATGCTATGTGTATAAAGGAATAGATGCTCATGCTTTTATGATTATTATTTTCTTCAATATCAGGTTATTCATCAGAAAAGGTAGTACAACTAGAGAATGTTGTTGGGTTGATTTTATTTTAATAAAATTCCCCGCACTGCTCACGACCCAAAAAATTGTGATTGATTGATCGATATTTTAACATGATCCATGCACAAGCACAAACACGACTTGAGCATAACACAAGCAAACATATGCCAAGCATGCACTGTTTGATACACTCTCTCTCACACACACACACACACTAATACACAAACTCAAGCATGCATTGTTAACACACATTGACACATACATTATACATACTAATATATAAAAAAAATATATACATATTAATACACCAAAACACACAATGTTAATACGAGCACTCACCAAATCATAAGTGCTCCGCTCAACTCTAGCACATCTAGTGAACCTAAATGTGCAATAATGTGTGTTTCTTTGATGTTT